GAAAAAAGATAAGAAAAAGAGAGTTTGATTGATTTCGGATTGAACCTTACGAAAGGCTGCCTACGTACCCCTTTCGAGGATCAAGTCGGACGTAGTTCGATTGGTAGAGCTGGACAAGAGATCAAACTGCCTAGGCGAGTTCGTCTAGTGATTGAGTGCCAGTCATAGAAACCGAACTTGTCGAGAAATAAGCCTACGTTTCTAAGTGCAGAGAGTTCTGAGTTTAAAGGAGTTGTGAAAATCGTCCTCTTCTTCTGTCCTTTGCCTTCTGCTTATGTACTCCCCATTTAGGCGGTTTAGTCCTTCCTTTTCGTCCATATTCGAGTTTATCGAGAATCTTTCATTTATCTCGATCTTTCCATTTTTCTTGCGGAAATCTTCTATTTATCTTTAAACTTGATATTTATTTTCAAATTTGACATTTATCTTCTTTCTGCGAGTAAATCGTCAAACCATCGTCGTATCTTTGGGCTGGAATTTGTTTAAAGTCGTGAGTAGGCTTTTATCGCGTTTTAGGATTTTCCTAGCCGTTTTGCGATAAAAACCGTTTTACGATTTTAGACGAGATCGTTTCCTGATATGATGCCGTTTTTAAGTAGGCATCTCGAGTTAAACATATAGTTTGGCAATGTTCGATGTTTCGTCTAATCGTTGGCGTTTTTACGATTTACTCGAGGTTTTACTAAAAACGTGCTTTGACGCCTAAAGATTTCTCGTATAATTTTTCGATTCTTATACGAAACTTGTTTTATCAAGTTGGAAAAGATCTTTATGACGTCGGAAAATCATCGAGTTTCCTTCTGAAGTTTCACAGAGGTTTTCTAACCGCATGATTTCGCTTGTTTGGATCATTTCTTAGCGCTTAGACGAATCTTAGATTGTTGTTTGCTTTTGGGATGATTTTGACGAGGCATCGCTTTGTCCGAATATTTTTCCACTTATTTTTTGCGAGAGTTTGCTTTATAGAAAGCGTTTTCTTGATGCGAGGAAAAATCTTCGATGAAAGAAGACAAATGAGGTTCCTTTGAAGGATTGGGATGATCGATAATTTGGGTCGATTAAAGACCATGGTGGATTGGTGATGACTTGGAGTATGTGTGTTTTACGAAAATTTCTAGGAACGAGTCGGTTTTAAGACGACGTCAGTGTCTTTAGTTCCTTCTTTCTTTGGGAAATGAAATGAGTACGCTCGAATGTGCCGTTATCATTTCTCGGTTGTACGAGAGATTGGATAGGTTTGCAAGTTATGCCTGAATAGTTAGAGAACAACAGATCGAGATAGACAAAAATTGCCTAGACTTAGCACGGTAGACTATCCCTCTAAATTCTAAGTTCTCTAGGTTTTATGGCAGTTTACAAGACGTTTTCATTCCTTACCAACGAGAAGTTAGAAGTCTAATAAAATTTTGAAAACAGACGTACCTTAGTTACATCGATGATTTGGGGCTGCCTTTTCTTCATTACTCTCGCGTCTTCTGACTTATTCTCGTAGGAATCGATTTTGACGAAATACCAACGAGAGTTTCGGAGTGAAGAAGGGATTTCAACATCCGAGTTTATGTTTTCGTTTTTCGTACTACTTGTTTTTATTAACTTACTAGGTGTGCTTTGTATATTGTTGAAAAAGTCATCTGACGTTTATGATTAGATGTTTTCGACTCAACCTGGCAGAAGTTTGTAAAACCGGATTGCGTTTAGAGAGTTCAAATCTCTCGTGTAGTTTAGGCAACTTTTGGCGTTAAGTCGACCATTGCCATTTTAGATGATTGATTCAAACTTATACGAAAAAAACAAGTCTTTGCGGTTTTTATCGTAAAATCTCAATGGAACCTCTGATTGAGACGAAATGAAAATCAGCGTGATAGAGACTTGAGAGAGAAACTCGAGGAGATTTTCCAGCTCACCATTGGGCGAGCTGGACGAACCCTCTCAGCTCAACAACTGGCGAGCTGGTGCGGATAGTCTCGATTCGTCGATCTGACTTGTTTTCGTCGTAGAATCTTAACAGAAAATCTGATTGAGACGAAACGAAAAGCTGTACGATCGAGACAGGAGAGAGAAGCTCGAGGAGTGGTCCAGATTGCCGTATGGAGAGCTGGATGAGACCTCTCAGCTCGCCATATGGCGAGCTGGTGCGGACGGTCTCGATTCGTCGAGTTGTCTTGTTTTCGTCGTAAAATCTCAAGGGAAAGTCCGATTGAGACGAAACAAAAAGCTGTACAATCGAGACTGGAGAGACAAACTTGAGGAGTGGTCCAGCTCGCCGTACGGCGAGCTGGATGAGCCCTCTCAGTTTGCCGTATGGCGAGCTGATTTGAGTGAACCAGCTTGTTGTACGGTGATCTGGTGCAGACAGTCTCGATTCGGCGAGTTGTCTTTTTTCGTCATAAAATCTCAACGGAAAGTCCGATTGAGAGGAAACGAAAAGCTGTACGATCAATACTGGAGAGAGAAGCTCGAGGAGTGGTCCAGTTTGCCGTACGGAGAGCTGGATGATCCCTCTCAGCTCGCCATACAGCGAGCTGGTGCGGACAGTCTCGATTCGTCGAGTTGACTTGTTTTCGTTGTAAATGCTCAACGGAAAGTCCAACTGAGACGAAACCAAAAGCTGTATGATCGAGACTGGAGTAGGATCAGCCTTGGGATCCTGAGAGTCGTGTCCAACTCTCCATTGGGATCTCTGGTCAAACCCTTACACGTTGAGATTTCTCCGATTTGGTTATGGGGTTTGATAGGTTTTATTGTTGCCCTTTTGTTTAGACGGAGAAATCGCGAGATCGTTTCGTGCTCTTTCCGTGGTGAAGAGTCGTGGTTAGGTGTAGTCTCTGCTGGAGTTTATTTACCAGCGTTTTTGTGAGTTGTGACTTTGTGTTTGATATATCCAGACATCGTTTTGATCAAGCGTTTTGCGTCTATGAGTAAGAGTAATCCGACCCCCTCCTCCTTCTAGCGCCAAACTGTGGGAACCGGAATTCACACCGTCGATTTCCGTAAAATAAGGAAACTTAGGAAAACCCTAATTTTCCAGAGGACCCGGATCTCTGTGAGAGCCAACGACAAGTAACCAAACAAATGCGGAAAATATGAAAAACATGATAAAACGATTTTATAAAGAAAGTTGATCTTATTTCGAATTTGCGTAAGAGCGTTGCAATTTTTACAAGAGATTACAAAGGCTTTGGCCGCAGGGGCCATCAGCGAGTTATCAACATAAAACCCTAAACCTAGTTGAGTCGCAGCTCGATAACAAAAGACGGAAAAAGATAAGAAAAAGAGAGTTTGATTGATTTCAGACTGAACCTTACGAAAGGCTGCCTACGTACCCCTTTCGAGGATCAAGTCCGACGTAGTTCGATTGGTAGAGCTGGACAAGAGATCAAACTGCCTAGGCGAGTTCGTCTAGTGATTGAGTGCCAGTCATAGAAACCGAACTTGTCAAGAAATAAGCCTAAGTTTCTAAGTGCAGAGAGTTCTGAGTTTGAAGGAGTTGTGAAAATCGTCCTCTTCTTATGTCCTTTGCCTTCTTCTTATGTACTCCCTCATTTAGGCGGTTTAGTCCTTCCTTTTCGTCCATATTCGAGTTTATCGAGAATCTTTCATTTATCTCGATCTTTCCATTTTTCTTGCGGAAATCTTCCATTTATCTTCAAACTTGACATTTATCTTCAAATTTGACATTTATATTCAAATTTGAAATTTATCTTCTTTCTGCGAGTAAATCGTCAAACCGTCATCGTATCTTTGGGCTGGACTTTGTTTAATGTCGCGAGTAGGCTTTTATCGCGTTTTAGGACTTTCCGAGCCGTTTTGCGATAAAAACCGTTTTACGATTTTAGACGAGATCGTTTCCTGATCTGATGCCGTTTTTAAGTAAGCATCTCGATTTAATCGTATAATTTGGCAATGTTCGATGTTTCGTTTAATCGTTTGCATTTTTACGATTTACTCGAGGTTTTACTAAAAACGTGCTTTTTACGATTTTTTATAAAAGATCTCGAGTTAATCGTATAATCGGGCAATGTTCGGCGTTTCGTTTGGCCGTTGCCGTTTTATACGATTTACTCGAATTCTTTCGAGAAAACAAGACTTTACGGTTTTTATCGTAAAACTTGATTGATACGATGGATCGAGATGAAACAAGAGACGTTTCGACCATGGTTCAGAACACGAATGAACCGAAGGACGTATGCTTTGTGTCGAGAATGCGGAGAGCAGGGCTCGGACTGGTCAGCTCGACGTACGGCGAGCCGAACCAGGTTGGTTCAGCTCGCCGTACAGCGAGCTGGTTCGTGTCCACCAGCTCGCCGTACGGTGAGCCGGTTCGATCGAACCTGCGCGCGATTTACGGCGGATGCGGTTTTTTTTTAGTTTTTTGCTTATCTCGGGCAATCGTGTAATCGGAAATTGTTTTGTTCTTTTTTCCGAGATGACAATTTCCAAATTTTGCGCGGATTTCCTTTGTTCGGAAAGTCCTTAAAATTTTATAAAACAACTCCTTGTGTTTTATAAAACATATTTTTATTTTTGCGAAAACATTTAGTCATTGATTCTATCGTGACCGATTTTGACACCAACAATTGCCCTTAATAGATCTGCCACTGTATATGTGATGTGATAATCTTCCATTTATGAAGTAGTTTTTGGATGTGAGTTATTGTTATATTGATAGTGATTCCACGTACTCTTTGGATACTTTTTTTTTTTAACTCTTTGGATACGTTTTACAAATTACGCAATAATTCTGAATTGTATCTATCATCGACTATAGATTGATCTTTTTCTTTTGTCTTTTTGTCGACACATTGAATCTTTTGTAGTCGAAAACAAAAACTCTTCTTGTTTCTTTTCACAAGATCAACAACAGAGATGTAACATCATGTAATGAAAGCATAACCCACGAGACCTTGACGTTGACATAACATCTCTGGATAGATTCACACGGAGTTTTTGGAGAAGAAAACACATCCAAGGAAATTAAAACTGATAAAGCTGAAAGTTAACTAACATGCATTCATGAACTTCTTCTCATTGTCATTGGCATCACCATCATTATCAACGTCAACAACAAGCTCAAGTTTACTCTTATTATTCTCATCATCCCATTTACTCATCACCATCGTTGTAATTGGTGCCTTCTTGTTCTTGTATTTAAAGTAGATGATAAGTTGGAGAATCCCCAAAGGAGTCCCCACCATATTAGGTGACTGCACATGTGTTAGAGATAAAACCACACAATCAAGAGCATGCAAATGAAAATCTTAACAATTTATTGCATTTTTTTATAGTCACACAAACATTTGTAGTGGACTTTCTTTGTATCAATATACACCAGGTTTTTCATTTCGCAGACTAGTTAATTGCCGCAAAAAGAAGACTATAAAAGCATTTCTAACTTCACTCCATAATTTACTGCAAAATGAAATGGAAAATTGAGTGATGAAGAAGCAAAAATCTTATTACACTATGAGTAATCACTTTTTTATTTGTTCATTACTTCATTTTTCTTTCTATTTTGCAGTAAACTATGGAGTTAGGTTGGAGATGCTCTAACCAAAGTTCTTACATTTGCTAATCATAATGTTGATAACTACCAATTAGTCTGACTAGAACGCTAAACTGATAGGTTTAATAGTTAAGTTGAAAGGTTTAATCAGTAGTGATTCATTTAATATCCAATTTGTTTAGGAAAAAAGTTTAGCAGTTAACCAATGTTTAAACAATACATCAATGAAGCTTTTTTATTAATTTCTTAAAGTTATTGGGAATGATTGGTTGAGATTTATCTCTTTATTTATTTTAAAATTACTAATTTTTACCAATTATGTTGTAGCTTTATTTTTAAAAGTTAAAATCTACATCATGTTTTTACTAAATTTTACCAAACATGCTTTAACTTTATTTTTAAGTTACAAAAAAAAAAACTAAAGCAAATTTTTTTTCAAATGTATTTTAGGTAAAAGTTTTACATCCTTCTTTTTTAAGCGGTAGAATCTGTCAAATGAAAAAAACTATCTATAATATCAAATAAATTATATAGTCATAATAAAAACATACATAAATGTTCTATTTTATTTTGGGGGTTTTTAAATTATTGAAATATTAAATATCATAAATATTATATTACATTTTAAATAAATTTTGATAGTATTTAAAAAGATTAATATAAATTGTTTTAATTGATAAAAATAATTGTTTTATATATAAATCACATATTTTACATATTTTATTTTAAAATATCTATAGACTATAACTTACAGCCACAACAAAAATCTCTGCAAAAAAATCTACAAGTAACAACTTTACATCTACAATTAACTTACTTACAACTAAACTTTTACAGCTAAATTTTTACATTTACTGTCGAACCAATCATCACCATTACTTATTACTTTTTTCCAGTCCACAAAGCAACGAAACTTCTATAAATCAACAAAAAAATATATTGGGCCGGCTTAACTATGTTGAAATAAGAAATAAACCAAAGAAAGGGAGTGAACTAGAAAAACGAACCGCAAGAAAGAGATCATGGCTGAGTAAACCATAGGCCAACCAAAGGGAGCTAGCCAGAAATGAAAAGAATGACAAGTAAAACGGCATGTATTCCACACTTTTTGTCTCTATCACTTTTTTCTGCACACACATACACATTAATTAGCTTGATCCATAAGTATCTATTTTGTATAAATAGTATCTCTAACTAATATTTGACTTGATTGTGGTAGAAAAAAAAAATCTTAAAATCCATAATAGTAAAAATTCTATAAATTAATACTCAAGAAAATTAATAAACACGAGAATAAGATAAATTTATTTAGCTCCGAATTAAACTAGTCTAAAATACGATACAAATCAACAATATAATATTATGTAAATATATAGTCTCATTAAAATCACAAATTAACAGTTTATATTTATACATTTTATATAAGTACAAACAATATATAAAATTTTTATTGTTTATGTCATATTCACCATAGAATTATCTCTATTTTTTCTTAACAATTTAATATATTTTGATAATATTTGTAAAGTTTATCTAAACCACATTTAAATTCTATCAAAAATATTCTAAAATTTAATTAATGTATATACAACAAAATCAACTATTTTTATTTTACAAATAATATATTATAAAGTATACAACTTTTATACATAACACATCATAGGCTTTTATTTTCATTTTCTTTTATTAGCAATTAGTTAGTGATAAGTTTTACCATTTGTAAATGCTTATTTTGGTTCATGATTAATAAATTTGAAACTCTATCAAAACAATAAAATAAAAAAAGATAACATTTCATAAGTTAATAATTCTTTTTTTAACATCTAACTTTATTAATTTCAAATCAATGTAACAGATTACATGAAACATAAATTTTATAAGTTAATAATTCTATAAATTAATTTTACGTACAATGGTAAGGTGTCTCTGGAACCAATTTAAAATTGTGCCATATATTTTAGATAATTACTCTTCTATTTTTTTCTTGTGGTAGGAAATTAGTAAATTATTCTTTTGATTTTGACATATGTAACAATCTCTATAATATTATTTGAGAAGTCACTTTCTTATGTGTCGTGCTCACGTTAACTCTCACGCTGGTTGATTACTATGATACCCCTAATGAATTAAAAATATATTTAAATATTATTATTTCCTTTTTAAAATCTTCCAAATAACAATATAAAACAAAAAGGAAATATTTCTAAAATTTACAAAACTATTTAAAAACGAAAAATAAGTATATATATAATATGGTTTCATAAAAAAGGAAAGTT